AAGTATTATTTAGATAACAGTTTTACTCCTCCTTGCTACGTAACAGAAAACCTACTGTAGAAAGCTTGTATTTACTGTTTTCATATTATTACTGTGTTCAGAGAGAAAAGGCAGCAGCTGAGACTTAGAATATGCTCTCTACCTGTGGAGAGCCCTGTTGTCCTCTGTAGGTCACAGCAGAAATCCACTTGTACACAATGTGATGCAGGGATGTGGTGCTATACAGGATTTTTAAAAACTGTGATTACCTTCTTATCAAGTGTGTTGAAAGCCTAGTTCTGCTCTCAGCAGAATCAGATGGATTAAGGACAGGGGCTTAGTATTATATATGTTATTCCTCTAAGGAACCAGTGGACAAGTGGAAACTAATTCCTTCTTGACTTTAACTAGAATTACTTGTGCTTGTGATGATTTTTATTAGATGTGCTGAGAACACTGTGGTAGCCACAGCTCCTCACAGAACCTGATTCTGTCTTGCCTGTCTTCTCACAAAAAAAAAAAAAAAAAAAAAATTCAAAAATCAAATTGTTTTTTCTTCCCCCACTGACTTTTGGTAAAGGAATTGACCCACATGCACACGCACAGTTGCAGATGCATAGGTGTATTTTGTATGGATTTGACTTCCAAAACATTTTACTGCTGGGTAGCTGGAGAATTCGTTGAGTAACTAGGCCTTCTACCTCAGGATATTATCTGAACTTTGATGAAAAAATAAATGAACCTTACTAAGGAATGGTACAGATATACACATTCTGCTTCAAAATTATGGAAGTGCTTGGGGAGGGTTAGCTGGGGATGTGGTATGTGATTCAGGTGTGCTTTAAATTTAGAATTCTTTCATAAACCACAGGCCCAAAATACCTGCATTTCTTGGGCTTTTTGTAACTTTCTGTGCCATAAAACCAAAAACTGAAAGTCATTAAAAAACTATGCATCTAACTTAAAAGCACAAGAAAATTAGTAGAAGCTCTGGGCATCTGATGCAACACAATTGAGCTGAGGGGACTTAATGAGTTACTGATTAGAGCTTAATTTCTGTAGCTCATTGTTAGCCTGCACCACTCATAATATGGTTATGGTTGCTTAATTCTCCTTAACTGTGATTTAAGCTAATACACTCTTCTTCTTTTGGAGTGAACTGAGAGAGCCTGTAACCAACACTCAACTGGTGAGTTCATCATTTGAGTGACACTGCCCCAGCCCTCAGTGTACTGCCTGCCTCCGTGCTGCATGTTCTGTCCAAGGGCCCTGGCTGGCATACCCACTTGTGTGCCTGTGTGCACTTCAATTTCTGTCAATACCAAATTTTGATTCTGTATCACTGTGAAGTAGTCGTGGTTGAGTTTCTTCTCAAGGAGCTTTCTGAGGACAGGCGCTTTGTCATTTTCCATTTTAGAGTTTGTGTTATAAATCACCTTTTGACTGGTTTCTCTTTTGTGGTTCCTGTCTGAAATTTTAGTCCGATCACATACGTTAAGAGTCATGTCAAAATGGTTTTCTTTATCCTCTGGAAATTCAATCCTTAGATCCCTCAAGGTTAGTAACACTGTTAACCTAGTAACAACCAGCCTCTGACAAGAATCTGGAAGTAGTTTGAGCTATTTCAACTTGACAATATATAGGCTGTTTTTATTTTGTATTTATTTTTAAAACAGCAGAAGTCTGGAAAAAATAACACATTAGAAAAAAATTGTTCACTGTAATTGCAGTTAAGTGTCTCTATAATTTTATTAATGATTACTTCAGATAATCTGCGTATGACATTCTCTGTATTTGGAAGCTTAAGAAGACAATGGGGTGGATGTTTATTTTCTGACATTAGAAACTGACTCTCCATAACCCTACATTTTTGGTTCAATGCATTATTAAAATGGAGTTGAATTCAACCACATTTTTCTTTTGTTACAACTGTGTACTTTTTCATCCAAAGCATCAATTTTTCCTCTTTCCTGTTCTCATTTTAAACTCATTTCCAAAAGAAGAAGAAAATGGACAATTCTTTATCTCTTTCTAGACTTTAAAGATTAATATTTCATTGACAGTCCTTTCCTTTCTCTCTGGAATGTCCTTGAAATATCATTAAACATTTAAAGCTGATGGATATGATTTGGGGAAAAAACTACAGTTTTTTGACCAGGAATTTTAAGTTTTAGATGTAAATGAAAAAAAAAAAATCTTTCTAAATCAGGTCTGTATTTTCTCTTGCTATGTAAGGAAATCCCTTATGATTCTGGCATTTGTGGAAGAGGAGGAAGCTACTGGTTTTAATAGATTTTGCCAGTACTTTGTCCTATTTTTCACTTTTCCCCCTTTAGAAACACAGACCAAATGAGAATTTATATTTATTAGTAACTGCATGTATTTTTCTCTTGTGCAATGGATTGTTTTTTTGTGGGTTGTTTTTTTTTTTCTCTCAACCTTCATCTCTTCAGGAAGTGAGAATAAAGATTTAGTTCTGTCCTATATTTTCCATTTTGATAAATCTGTGATGCACATTGCTGCAGTAGTTTGATCTCTAAGGAACAGCAGCTGCATTTTCACAGCATTTTATCTCTGCATAGCCTGCAAGAATGCTTCCATCTCACATATCCAGCACTCCACACACACAGATGATTCCTTGGAGTAATGGAAGAAAGTCTAATACCAAGTCTGCCTATGGCAAATGTGAGGTAGATACACAGGGACAGAGATAGTGCAGGCTTGTCTCTTTGTTCTGCACAGCCAATATTTACCCACTGCCTTGTGTGCTGTGTTTTCCAGTAGATCTCCTGCCAGAATTTTCAACATAGCCACAAAATCTAAGGGAGTGGTTGCCTGGTCCTAAGGAAATTGCCAGTTATCAAAAAAAAAAAGTACATTGGTGTGTGAGAAGCGGAGGTTCGCACAGAATAGCCATTTATTCAGTACAGCCCCATAAACAAGTTTAAACAAATGTTGTAGCAGGAATATTAAATTTTCTATTTTTTTTTATAATTAACTACTGTGCCCCAATTTTCCAGTTAGCATATTTACCTTTATATTTTCCTACTAGCTAAATGATTTGCATCATCCAAGGTATTTTTTTTGCTCACTGAATCACTACTGTAGCTCTACTAGAAGAAGCCTGTACAGTCTAGACTTTTTGCTACTGCTTTGCTTTTCTCATTTACTCTTTGTTCAGCTATGAAAATAAGATATCTTAATGATAAGATTAACTTAATGATAAAGTTAAAGCACAGGCAATCTGAGATTTTATGTAGTTCCTAATACAGCTTGGCCTTCCTTTTCTTTCTTCATCCCATTGTCTCCATTAGAATATTATGTCTTGGGATTCTGGGAACTCTTCTATGATGCCGGTTTGCTAGGGATGGTTGTAAGATAACACATATCAGTTCATTAAGATCTTGGAAGATGTAGGACTAGAATCTTTTTCAGGTAGTAAATATGTAGAATAAAATACTAGGCAAAATACCAAGACTGTCTATAAACTGGATGCATTTTGTGAAAGGAATCTGTTGTATAGAGGAATTCAGTGTTTGACATGAAAACCTGAACTTTCAAGTTCAAAATGATATGGCTGACAAACTTCCCCAGAATTATTTTGACAGTCCCTATCTTAAAGTTCAACTTCTGCCTGTAAGTACTATATAATTAACACTCTGCATTTGCAATACTGGTGTAAGTGTAGGCTGTCTTTTTAACGGCAAATTTTTCACTTAATTTCAAAACAAAAGTGTTGGTGTGGCAGTGGACTGCAGCATGAAAACTGAAAAACTTTCCCATAGCTACATCATGCAAGAGCAGTAGTTAATTATTAGTGTAGTACTTGATCTCAAAAGGTATTATGTTTACGGTGAATGGAGTGTGTGGTGGATACACCCAATTCAATTAATCCATTGCACAATATAAACTGAGTGAATAGTCACCTGTCATTTAATGAAACTTTATGAAGAAACATCCTGCTTTTTCTTTATTTTCTGTATGTGGTGGTGGTGGTGTTATTATTTATTTATTATTACTATAATTTTGTTTATTTTTAGTTTCTTTGTATTATTCACATTTGCATGGAAATTGCCTATTCACTGTCCCTGTTAGTGAATTTTTTGGAATGTTGTCAAAGAAATTCCTTACCCTTTCTGTATGAATTCATTTCACCATCGTATTGCCTTCTAATATTCACATCAGTATTATTTTCGGCAAAACATGCCATTCTGTCTATGGTCTGGGGTGCAGTGCTGTGACATAATGTCCAAACACCAGTTAAGGGACACCTACTATCTGAATTCTGAAATAATTTCCACTGATACTGTCCAAAATGCAGTTTTTTTAGTTGGAATGCTTGGAATAGCATTGTTTGAAAAGAGTCATCAACAGCCGAAAATTGTCCCTTAATTTTCTTATTAAAACTAATCGTTTAGAGTCTTGGGTAACTGATGTTTGTGACAGTGAGAGAAGGTAAACTAGAGTCATTATCAGTAGAACCAGGTCAAAAAGTCGCATGCATTTGATTACATGTAAAATTTCACTGGCAGGATAGTTGGGGATAGATGGAAGAGAAAAAATGAAAAATTAGGGAAAAAAATGAAAGTAAAGAGTTAGGACTTGGCTGAAAGATGGTGTTTGTGAATGGAAGCAAAGCTGAGAAGATGTCATAAGCCCGCTATTTATTTTCAGCACCGGTACTCCAGAACATTGGTATATTTGCTGGTGTATATAATAAAGTTGTGTTTCTCTTCCTGGAAACATAGTGTCCTAGTGAGGAGTTTAGTGTCTTGGTAGAACTGCCCACAGGAATATTTTAACTAACAAAATACAACTCAGTAAACTGACAGTGAGAAATGCAGCTTTCATTAAAACAAGAAGGTAAAACATTACAAAAACATTGTAAACTCATTTCATTTTACTTCTGACTAAAGTATTTTTTCACTCAGGGCAATTATCTTGGGCATGGAAGGGGAAACTCACAAACAGATGTTTCTGGTCTGTTCTAATCTATTTATGCTTTTGCTTTTTAACCATAGGTTTCTGTGCTCGAGAGGCAGATATTTGACTTCCTTGGTTATCAGTGGGCACCCATCCTGGCAAATTTTATACACATTATTATAGTCATACTTGGCTTATTTGGAACCATCCAGTATAGACCTCGTTACATAACAGGAGTGAGTATTTAATTTTATTTACTTATTTTGATGTGCATGTTTAAAAAATAATAATCTTATAGGTGGAATAGAAATCTTGTCTTGGTTTAACTTTTTCTATAATTTACATTTACTTATTATGCTTTTGAGACACCTTCAATAATTAACTGGTAGAAATCTACAAAAGTTGAGAGTCAATATGCTCATAAACTACATGCCCATATGAACTTTCAAGAAGTGCAGTCAGTTTAAAGAATTACAGCATCCTCAGATTACAGGAATTTAAAGCTAGAATAAATGCTAGCCATAACTTTCCTAGATACACTGGACCTCAACAACAGATTCATCATTATAGTTACTCATTATTGTTACTAACTGTAGTGCTGGAGTGCCTGTCCCTCCTAGAAATTAGTCCAGTGTGAAACTGAAATATGATAATATGGTAAGAAATGCAGGTTTGGTGGTTACAGACCAAGGGCTCCAGAATAAAAGTAAGGATTTTGACCTTTATATTTTTAATCTATTTCTTTTAGTTATTCAGCTACCCCTTATACAATGACTCAATATGTTGTACTCTGTGATGCAATACAGTATTAATGAAATCCTCCTTTCATACTCTCGGTTTTTTTTCATATTTGTAGGTATAAGACAGAATAACAAATCTGAAAACCAGCATTTGAACACCTTTTGTTAGAAATAGATTTGCATAACAATATTTCTATCAAAATTGACTGCTAATTCAGGTAAACTTTTTCAGAGACAGATAGCAGTCAGAAAGATTTGCTCGTATCTTTTTGATACATCCATATTCTCATGCCAAATGAAAATAACTCCACTCAATCTGTACTCACTTTTGCAGTCTGTTTCCTATTGCACTCTTTCTTCATATACCAGTAGTCATTCAGGAGATAGAAATGTTTTACTTGTACCCCTGTGCTACCATCCATGTTTCAGTAGTGTGACAGTAATAGTAATGTATTATTATTAGTATGTTTCTGTGATTTCCTGTATGCAGAAAACATGTCTCTACTGGTAGAATGTCTTTTTGACTGCTACTGCTAAACCCAGGACATGCCTGCGCACAATCTAATATATTCCAAAGCTTATACTATCAACACTGAAAAATATATTGTAAGTCTGAAATATTTATAGTGTTTCCTTTAAATCACAACTCTAGGAGATATGTGAATGTGAACTGAAGTTTTTTTTCTTCTGTTCCTGATTCTTTGACCAGTACAAAAGGCTTGAAGATTAAAACCCAAAATTGAAAGGCCAGTTTAAAAGAGTTAAAAGTTCCATTCTAAGACTATTCAAAGTCATAAAAATGAGCATGAGCATAAAATGCTTAGGTGAGCTAAAGAAAAAAAAACCCTAGATTTAAATAGTCTTTTCAACAGGAATACAGAAAATTACCTGCTACAATAATGAATGCATTCTGAATGGGGAGCAATACCAGCCTTAGAAATAGGTACTGTTCACCTACTGTTAGTAGGATGGTATGGTTTGTGACACACCATCCTATTAATTTTCACATTTCTTCTTAGAGCTCCCTCTCCCCCTCACTGTGTAGCCCATTTGATGTGAGTTTACCTTCTTGCATCCTCTTATTGAATTGAACCAATCTAAGATCAAATTGTTTGTCTTACTAAGCTTTTATAATAGATACCCAAATCTGCTATCTATCACTTACATAAGGAAAATATGATGTAACTTTCATCCTTCATTTAGTTGCATCAACAGAGGAATGCTATGGTTTTTTTTCATTTCTACCACTGCTCTCTTTGGAGAGTATCTGAAGTCAGGATGAGGGAAATGGTACTGGTCACTGGAGGGAGAGATGAGGGATCTGCATCCTTTCTTTCAGTTCTTCTGGGCTCAGATTAGGCACCTTGTTATAGCTAGGCAAAACTCAGTAGTGTTATCTGACATCAGGAATAAATTTGTGAGTTCAAAGGCAAGCATCACAACAGCTTGTAAGCCTGCAAGGGTGTAGCTATGAGGTGTTCAGGTGAGTGAATATAAATACTCAGACTTCAGTAGGTTTTGCAAGAGTCAATCTATCTTGAGTGGACTCTGTAGGACACTTAATCCACAGTCACGTTAGTATATCGACTATAGCTTGCTTCAACAAGACTACAATAAATTTCCTTTTTACTGTGTATGCTTCATAAAGGATATAAAAAAATGTTATTCAGAGGTTGTGAATCATAGGTTAAAGAGAACAGGGAGGTTTTAAGGTGAGATTTCAAGAAATGATTCAGTGGCTTAGGCAGAAGAGGAAATAAGTTTTAGACAGGTGGAACACCACAAGTGAAAGTACATCCTTGAACTCACAAGAGTCACAGGGAAGTTTGGGAGTGAGGTCAAAAGGTGACTGTGTGGCTTCAGGCCTTGGAAAATAGTTCAGATTGCATGGGATTCAGGAGTTGTCAAAGACAAAGAGAGCAGGAAACTGAAGTTTAATATCATCAAGGGGGTTGATCTTAGTATAGGTTTGACAAGAACACATTCATTTTTACTTGTAAATCTAAACCATTAATAAATGAGCAACTGATGCAGGAGGTGAAACCTGTTCTGAGGGTGAGAATGAGTGTCTCTTCAAAGATACCTTTTCAAAAGATAATAATGAAGCAATTTTTTTTGTGAAAACAGTAATGATAAAAGGACTGCCTAGCAAAACTGTGCTAAAACAGAGAATAACAATTTCAGTAGAAACAAACATTAGCCAGTGTAATGCCTTAGATGTAAATGTGTTTTTAGCGGTATTATCATAGGATCCATCAATGCAAATGTCTGAGAGGTAATACCAGTGCAAATTAAGAAGGGCTCCTGAAAGAAGCAATGCTTTCCACCTGGGTAGGGCTTCGACTGAAGGTTCCGTTTCTCCCCATTCCGTCTACAGAGGGATGCTGGCTGTGCTGATATGCTCAGCACATGTTCCTCACTCTACTATGGATTATTAGTTGCCTGACTAATCTCATAACCTTCTACAATAGAGTAACTGCATCAGTAGACCAGGGAGGAGCTATAGATATAATCTGTCTAGACTTCAGTAAGGCTTTTAATATGGTCCCCCATAATATTCTGCTCCCTAACGTGGAGAATTTGGTTTGATGGAAAGACTGTTAGATGGATAAGGAAGTGGCTGGATGGTTGCATCCAGAGAAATACATTCAGTGGCTCAGTGTTCAAACGGAAACCAGTAACGAGTAGCATTCCTAAGGGGAGCATACTGGGAGCAGTAGTATTTAATATGCTCCTCAGTGACATAGTGGGATTGCTTGCACCCTCAGCAGGTTTACAGGTGACACCAAGCTGTGTGATGCACTTGATTCACTAGCTCTGAAGTGAAGGCTCTAGGGGAACTGTATTAGAGCTTTTCAATGTATAAAGGGAACTTAAAAGAAAAAAGGAGAAATTTTTTTTTTACCAATGCCTGTAGTTACAGGACAAGGCACAACAAGTTTAAACTGAAAGAATGTAAGTTTGAACATAAGGAAGAAAATTTTTACAATGAGGATGGTGAGACAGTGGAACAGGTTGCCCAGAGAAGTTGTGGATGCTCCATCCTTAGAAGTGCTCAAGATCAAGTTGGATAGCATTTTGAGAAAACTTCTCTAGTGGAAGATATCTCTGCCTATGTCAGGGAGGTTGAAGCACATGATCTTTAAAGGTCCCTTCCAACCAGACCTTTCTGTGATGCTATAAGTAAGAAAATGCTGCTGAATAAATGAATGTTTTCTGGTTCCTGAATGATGGAAAACCTTGGCAATCTCATTTTTCTGATGCCTTAGCATTTCTAGAAAGCATTCTCAGAATATATAGGAAAGACAAAAAGTCCCATTTCTAATGAACGTCATTCTCTCCTCCAAAAAGGAATCCAACTAGCGGGTGAAGCTCACTGGTTCTCCAGTGCTACAAAGGTAGTACTGTAAAATTAAGTACTTTGTTTCTTCACTGCCATTGGTAGAAGTAAAGGAGTATCTGGTGAGAAAGAGAAAAGCTTTGAAGTGTATTATGAAATATTACAATTTGAGGAAAGTCATGTCTGGGAGGTAGTTTCTAAGGTAATTTCCACTGCTTGCTTGTACCTTCTAGACCTGTTATATTTACTTCTTTTACAGCTAGTTCCAACAAAGAAAATTTTGGTACAATTCTGTAGTTTTACTGAGCAGTGTTATAGACAAACCAAGAGTGATAAGAAAGTGAAAAAGCATTTGTACTGAAGAACATTCTCCCATCTTGAGTATAATGTGAAGATCCAGTATCTATAAGAAATAAAACTTTTAATCCAGAAGAAATTGGCTTGTTTCAAACCTGTGACAGTAAGAAATTGTACAAAAAGTTTTTCCATAATTTGTTGCCCCGTTCAAGCAAAATTATGCAACAACGTTACTAACATTTTCCCAGGGGGTTATTTATTCTGTTCTAGTATTTCCCCCTCTTAAACATAATCGTAACACGCCCTAAAAATAGTGAACATAATTGAACCATAGAATTATAAAGTCCTTTAGGTTGGAAAAGACCTTTAAGACCATAAGATCTAACCATTAATCTATCACTGCCTCATCCACCACCAAACCATGTTCCTAAGTGCCACGTCTACACATCTTTTTAAATACCTCCAGGAATGGTGACTTTACCACTTTTCTGGGTAGCTTGTTCCAATGCTTGACAATCAGCAGATATCTGATGCATTGAAGTCCCAATGAAAAGAAGAGCTTGTGAGACTTCCCCCAGCTGCTTATATTTCATCTGCCTCGTCATCCTGGCTGAGTGGTTCTGTAATAGATTCATGTTAAGTGATTGTTGGCCTTCCTTCTGTTTCTTAGCCATAAGCACTCAAACTTATTGTCACCATTATTAAGCTTTAGACAATCAAGACACTCCCTAACATACAGGGCTATTCCACTGCCTGTGCTTCCTTGCCTATCCCTTCTGAAGGCAGCACTTCAGTTGTATGAGTCATCCCAGCATGTTTTCGTGATGGCAACTATGTCGTAGTTTTCCAGCAGCACAAT